TTGGAGCCTCAGCTTCAGGATCTGTCCTTCCAGTGAGCACTCGGGGTTGATTTCCTTCAAAATGGATAGGTTTGTTCTCCTTGCAGTCCAGGAGTCTCCTCCTCCTAAGAGTCTAATATCTTTATTAGACTTCAGTGGTGCCTCGCTTAACGAGCGCCTCGCTGAGCGATGAAATTGCTTAACGAGGCGCTCTGGGCCATCGCTGGAGCATTCGCTCAGCAATGGCCCCTATGGGGATTTTTCGCTTTGCGATATTCACTAAGCGTTTCGCTTAGCGAATATCGCATAACGAAGCCGGGAGAACAGCTGATCGGTGGTTCCAAAATGGCCACCGGAAGGTCCGCGCTGCATTTTCGCACCCTGCCCTCGCTTACCGAGGGCGCAAAAATGGCGGCGCTATGGCAGAACATCGCTTAACGGTGAGTTTTCAAGCTTTTTAAATTCCTTTTAGCGATGTTTCGCTATAGCGAAGCTTCATCCGGAACGGATTAACCTCGCTATGCGAGGCACCACTGTACTAATCATCATCATCATCATCCAAGCAGCATGTGAACTTTTGTGGATCAAAATCCACTTCCTCAGGCAGTTTCTTGTGCAGAGAAATTTGAGTTCCAAATTGAGGAGCAAAACCAGATAATCCAGAGGTGCGGAGAAGAAGCCAATCTGATACTAATCTTGCAGGACGTCCTGTTTAATTACCTAACAAGGCCTCTGAGTGGCAGCATTTGCTTTTTCTCTCTACTGCAGTTACTTTTTCCATGCGCCCTCTAGGGATAATCCAGCTCTCCTCAGCTTCACTGAAAATCGGCTCCTGCATTAGCGGAAGTTTGCTCAAACATCTTATCCACGCCTCCTTTTGCTTCAGTTTCAAAAGCAAACCTCCCTCTTTCTTTCTTTCAATAATTCAATTCGGAATTTGAGAAAATTACAGCTTGAATGAGGAGAGGGGCAGTAAGGACTCTCTGCACACAATCCTTGGCTTAACTTAAAACTTTTGTTGTTGTTTAGTCATTAAGTCGTGTCCGACTCTTCATGACCCCCATGGACCAGAGCACGCCAGGCCCTCCTGTCTTCCACTGCCTCCCGGGGTTGGGTCAGAGTCATGTCGGTCGCTTCGATGACCCTGTCCAACTTTTAATAGAGTCGCATCCTGGGACCTCCTTCCCAGAATAAGCTCTGCCCTTAAGAGATAAGTGAGATAACTCATAACTCAAGAGATGAAGAGAGATCGTGGAAATGTATACAGCTGTGCCTCCTAATCTAGTGTCATACGATGCAGGATTCAAAAGCAATTTTTCTAATTTCCCCTCCCATTTTCAGATTTATATATAAAATACTATTTTTTTGTTGAACTTGTCGATGATATGCTTATTTAAAAATACACGCTACTCCAGCTGGTGTATATAAAACAAAAGGACAAGATCCCACCCCCTCACCCACCGCATCAATGACGGCACCAACATACATAATATGAACCACAATCATGATATTGAAAATGAATGGTGGTCTTTCAAAATATAAAGGCCACCCTCTGAAAATCCTGGGAGCCCCTGCTGAGGCCCCCCTTCCCCAGGTGTCT